TCCTCCCCGCGGGTGGTACCGAGCTGTCGCAGAAGGAGATGGAGCGGTTGGAGGTGGAGCTGTTCAGCGTCGCCAAATATGCCGAGGATTCGAACTACCTAACGGCCATGGCGTGGGCCGAGGATGGGGAGTACGGCGCGATCACGCTGTATGAGGTGTTGGAGAGGAGGGGGGATGCGGTGGGGATCCGGCCCGTCGCGGCGATGCGGGAGGTGCCCAAGCAGATCTTGGTGGATATGCGCAAGCATGACAAGATCAAAAAGGTGGTGTTTGTCGACGGGGATGGGGATGAGGATGTGACTGTCTTCAAGTGGAAGGCGAATCCCAGTCGAGGGCCGACCTATGCGAAGCTGGGCGTGGGGGAGGAGGGGGAGGGGCGGCACGGGGGGAGGCTAGCGGATGCGGATGGGATTTATGCGACGATTCCGCAGTTTGTGGCACTGTTGCATGCGAATAGGGCCATTCTCGAGGGGGTGCAGTCGAGTCACATCGGCCCGCTGGAGACCGACGCGGGTGTCGTGCCGCATGTGAAGATGCATCAGCCGCCGAGGGACAATGCTCACAAGGGGGATAATATCCATGTGGCTGTATTGATCCCGAACGACGCGCCGTGGGCGGACGAGCAGATTTACTGGACCGATGGGGATGGGCTCGTCGAGTTTAGGCGGAAGAGGTATTGGGATTTGATCGAGCGGGAGCATCGCCGGGAGCATGGGAGCCGAAGCCGGAGTCGGCACGGATCCCACTCGAGTGGGAGGAGTCGGAGTCGGAGCCGCAGCCGGCATGATGAGCGGAGTCGGAGCCGGCATCTTTCGGCGCATGCACATCGCTGATTTATCATGGATATTTTGGCGGGAGCAATGCTTGATGCACACGGCAAAGGCTGGGCTTGATTACACCCTGCAGTTAAACATGTTTTGGTTCACATGACAATGGCGATTCATAGCACTCGACTTTTCTCGCAGAAATATTTATGACTTCCACCTTACTTATAATTACAAGTACAAATATCACCAGCTACCTGTCCACCTTCTTCACAGATATCTGCCTATTTTCGGTATGTCGCTGCCCATACTCAACATAAAGGTGATGTTCCCCAAATTGCATTCCAACATAAGTGTACACCCCCGTCGATAAGACACAGACACCTTCGAGATGGTGCATCTGCTCCGCCAAAGTATATCCGTACTCCTCGCAATAGCGACAGGCACACTCGCAGATGCGCACCTAGTCGACACCGCAGTCTCCAGCGGCATCATTATCTCGCCCTCGAGTACACCCACCCCGTGGATCGCACCACAAGCAAAACCCGACGAAGGACATCAACGCCTACCTAATCACGCTTTCCCCCACCGACGTCCCACCAATCCCCCGGAAATACATCCAACTCACCTCAAACAGTTGACACGTGCAACCTCTTCGTCTACAATAATAGGCCCATTTCATGTCTAATCAGGACGAGTTCGCGCCGTGGGATGAGAGGTGGGTCATGCTTGGAGGCTCGGGGGTTGATGCCGAGTCTTATGGATGGCGTGTGAGCCCCAAGCGCGAGCGCTACCAGGAAGTTGGAAAGTGATGTTTTCTGGGTTGGTGTTGATTGTATGGTTTGGATGGTGGACTGATGATTGGGTGTGGGTGTTGTATACGAGGCAGTGCATTCAAGCTTTTTGCATTAAATGGCGGTTAATGTAAGGAATTAGGAAGGCCAAACTAGCGGACTACAAAACCTACCTCACTAGTAGCTTTACTATACGCCCCAAGATATCGCCACCTACGTGCACCTATCGAAACATCAGTCCGTTGCTGATAGGTGTCAAGGGAAATGATTCCCGGTAGCATAGTTCTCCAATATCTAGCAAGTCATGGAGCTAGTCAACGGTCCAGTGATAATAGCGACGAACTGAACAAGTAGACGCCACTAATGCAAACACACCTGACTAAATGTGTGACAATGTAACATGGGTGAGGAGATCGGGGCTCAAAGTAAAAACCGATGGATGGGAATTTGCGACCTGCATCACGGCACGAAATTGCCGGCCGCTGGTTATCTCGGACAACAAGTATAACAATATCGACCAGGTATATCTCCGCTTCGGGGAGGCTGCCGTGGCCCTGGATGTCGTTTTGACCTTCCCCAAAATCTTGGGTATGGGGCCCTGCAAACTCCAAGTTTGATCCAAGCCAAATGTTCAAGCTAAGTCCTGATCGCAAGTAGACGACTTGTCAGCGGGGAGGTTACTTCTTATCGGGGTTTGGAATGGCTTGCACAGACTGTTACACAGACTAGGGAGTCAATTAAATGGTTCAGGGACACGCCGGCTATTGTAACTATGGGATATCGGAAGCTCGGCAGATGATATCAGGTTGGGGCATGTCCATTTACCCCGCGTGCGAAGAAAACAGCTACCGGTGAGGACGAATTATCTACCATTGGTCGATGGCATGTCTTGTTCAATGGCTGTAGCTTGGTCCACTGAAATTGATGGTCAGCAATGGGCAATGGACACTGTTGCCAGTGGATCATTGTGAATTGGGGGATGGGATCCCGGGACTTGGCAACAAGGTCGAAAGCCGTGTGTGCTCCCAGCGCTCTTGGCTGACGCACGGCACATGCAAGTGCCACGCATCCCAGCCGTGAAAGATATTGGGGGAAGGTGGCACTCATTGAACTCCAAATTTGGGGTTGACCATCAGGATCTCACGCTCGGCGCCCCGGCTCACATCTGGCGCGTGAAAGCCGAAAGGTATTATACTCGCCGAGTTTAAGGCTGTTTGGTTCTGGTACCCCACCCGGTCCAGTCTCTCCAACTCGAGCAAGACGATACAAATAAAGGGATAAATGTCAATCTCACCCCGCCCAGGGACCGTTTCTCCTTCCACACCCTCCCACATCTCCAGCTCCTGCCTGTAGCACACGGGTTGCCACCGCCGCTATGCCTTTCGGAATCCTGGACTGCAAGAAGATGGAAGTCGTGCCTGGCACGGGTACGCTCCCCTTCACGGGCCATTGTCAATGGCTGCTCCACGCTAACATTCCTGCCGTGCCCAGCTTTCATGACGGACCAGGACGACCTTCCACCTGAGCTGAGCGACATCCCCCGCGAGCGACTGAAGCACGGAACAGGACGATTCAAGGACGTCATCCTCGTGCCCCAACCTTCCGACAGCCCAAATGACCCCCTGAATGTGAGCCACTTCCCACCCCCTGCTATCCACCATGTAACTGACAGGCATGTCTGCAGTGGCCCCAATGGTTTGTGATTCACCACACCCCCAGAAACAATACAACTCACACCCCCTAGGAAAAAGGAATTGATCCTCTTCATCGTCGGCCTCTCCGCCGCCGTCGTGGGCGCCTACGGGCCCATGATCTCGCCCGGCTTCCTCAGAATCGCAGCCGACTTCAACATCACAGACAAGGTTCTCGCGCAGTCGACGGCCTGGCTAATCCTGTGCATCGGACTGGGCCTGTTCCTAACCAACCCACTGGCCAAAATCATCGGGCGCCGCCCCGTCTATCTTGTCGCCATCGTCATCATGTTTGTGACGAGTGTGTGGGGCGCCGCCGTGACCGAGTATAACTCGTGGCTCGCCAGTCGGGTCGTGGCCGGCATTGGCATGGCGCCGTATGAAGTCTTGGTGCAGTGCACCATTGGGGATTTGTACTTTGTACATGAGCGCGCGACGCGGATTGCCGTGTGGAATTTGTTTCTGCTAACGGGAATCAGCGGGGGCGCGTTGATTGCTGGGTATATCATTGAGAGGGACGGGTATCGGTGGACGTTTGGGGTGTGTGCGATTCTGTTTGGGATTCTGCTGATTGCCGTCATTTTCTTTGTGCCTGAGACGGCGTATCGAAGGGACTCCGTTCTGCCGGTGCCGGTGAGTGACCAGGAGGAGAAGGAGGGCAGTGTCAGAAAGATGAAGCTGGGGCATGACCATGATGTACAGCACGTTGATGAGAAGGCAATGCACACGACGTATGATGGGGAGGGGGGTGCGGTGGAGAAGAAGCACACTTACATCCAGTCATTGCGTGTTTTTACTGGGCGGTACTCGTTCGCCCCTGGCTGGAAGGTGTTTACACGGCCGGTTATCCTCTTGTTCTACCCTGCCGTCTTCTGGGGGTTTCTCATCTACGGTAGGAACCTCATCCCATTCCCTTACTCGCATCGCTGACAGGAACAGGCACAACTCTCACCTGGATCGTTGTCTTTTCTGTCGTCAACGGCGTCATCTTTGTCAAACCACCCTACAACTTCAGCATCAGCCAGACGGGCCTCATCAGCCTGTCCCCTTTTATCCTGACCATCATCGGCGAGTTGATCTCGGGCCCGCTCAACGACTGGATTTGCATCTACCTGACACGCAAGAACAAGGGTGTCTATGAGCCCGAGTTCCGGCTGCCCCTGATGGTCGTGGCCACAGTCTTGGGAGTCGTCGGCTTCTTCGGCTTTGGCGCCACCGTGCAGTACCAAACGCACTGGCTGGGCCCCGTCTTGTGTTTTGGGCTTGCCAACATGAGTTTGGTGTTTGCATCGACTTGTGTATTTGGATATGTTGTTGACAGCTACCGCGAACACAACGAGGAGGCCTTTGTCGCCATCAACGCGAGGAACTTGCTCACGTTTGGGCTGACCTACTTTGTGAACGGCTGGTATGAGGAGCAGGGGGCCCTGATCGTCTTTTCGATCCTGGGGTCCTTGTTTTTGTTTGTTACCTTGTTGACGATACCACTTTGGTGAGTTTACAGACGTGACACTACTATAATTCTTAGGGCTGATGCTAACTTTGGGCAGGATTTTCGGCAAGAAGTTCCGGAGCTTTACTGGACGCAACGAGTGGCTGCAGAGATTCATGAACGATAAGTCCTAGATGCTAGGAATTCAGCGTCAACGCCACACTAGCATTCCAGCAACCGTCATCTCAGCCAAGAAATACACATAGAAACCTAAATATCTCAATTCCATCACTTGGATGGTCAGCGACAAGAGATGTATCGACATAGGCTAGATTTAAACCGACGCTCCCGAAGGAACAAGATCCCTAGTCTTGCGCATTAGACCACTCTGCCACCACGCCTATTGGTGATACTGCTCAGTGGGCTGTTGGATGGAGATGCCCCCATTAGAACCAACTGTAGTATCCAGAGGTAGACTAGATCCGAGGTTTTGTGTCTGGGCTACCCCGGTCAACTCCCGGTCCACCCACTTCCGGGCAGATTGTTCCCAGGATGATTAGGGTTAAGGATTTCCCATTCTGTGCTGCATCTTAGACCGCGGTCTATCAGTTGGTTAATAGTATTGAGAGAAAGGCATATATCTTGACCTCAACACTGAACAGTGTTGGCAGGAAGGACGAGCAAGCAGTGGATCAGCCGGTGATTGAGCGTCTAATGGACTTAGTCTGGTCGTGGTGCTCCAGGCAATATACCTAGGTACCTTAACCACGATTCAGACTATCATCTAAGCGAAAATCGAAAACTTGGTATGGTTGTGGGAATATTTATAGTGATTATGGTCCACACTATACTACCTCACGGATCGGAACGAATCGGAACTCTTGGATGGGTTGACTAAAGGTGTTAGGAATATTTCAGGTCAAGGTGCCCAGAGAGGATTCAGTGCTTGAAAGCTGATTGTGGGTCCCAGAAGCAAACAGTCATTCGAATACCCAGGAAGCCCAATCAAAGGGATAGGTAACTGTTGGGATCTGTCTTGAGCGTTTTTCTGCCACATTTACCTTAGTTTAGCTTCCGGTTCAACCTGGCTGTAAATGTGGCGTTCGATATATTACATGAGGAGAGTAGTAACTGGCAAGTCAGATACAGTACTATCCGCCGCCTTTGCCTCCATTACGAAGCGAAAAATGTGCTGCTTGAACTTTGAACGCAACAGGATGATGTTTTACCCTAAAGTTGCCCTCAGCAATTTCCCTGTTCGTGCGTGACCCTGGGCCGCTCCTGAGCTAGGGTGAGCTATGGGTGAGCCTAGCCTGCACAGCCGTGTGGCCCAATTTTGGACCCTCGACTAAAGTTGCCATCCGGAGATTCTGGTGCGTTCCTCGGTTTATGCTAACCATACCGCATAGGGTGCGGCCACGTCAGCGGTGACGTTAGTCGCAAAATAGGATTCTGTTGGCATGCATTGCAGCCTGGACGTTTGATTGTATATAGTGAGGCGAAGTACGGAAAGGGACGGAGGAAGGAATGTCCTCGATTCCAGTCCGCTTTTAATTTGAAGCTTTGAGTATCTTATTGCTCTCTGGAAGGATGATTCCCCCGTTACATATTAGGAATTACTTCAACCTATAGAAGGCCACTGTCCAATACCTGATTGCAGGAGAAAGTTGAAAGGTATAAGTGGCCACGTCAGAAATCAGAGCCCCTGGCGTGCCAGGAAGCCTGAGCCACCATAACTACGTTGACGTGATTCTATGAATAGATTTATAAGGATACAGCTCCCTAGCATGCCAGAAAGAAACATACAATTCAATCACTTTTGGCACCCTTAACTTGCAGTGCCGTATTTCTGACAAGCCAAAAATATTCCTTTCCGCTTGCAGCCCAATCGTTTCCATCCGCACTATAATCCGTTAGGGTATTGCCTTGCCTGTCTTGGGAATGCTCTCTCAAAGTCCGGCCAGAAAGGAACGTACGGTTTTGGCTTAGGTAAGGGAAGAATTTCTTATACGACCAAATAGACAGTATCTAAAGATTTTAATATTAGCTTGGCCACTTGTTACGCACCTTCCTATTGTATTAAAGAAACCGTACCGTTATACTATAAAACAAGAGCATTTATTCTACAGGGTAATAATCTTGGTTGACGGTTAACTTTTGACGAGTATGAAAGCGGTGAGTATGAAAGCGGTAAGTGGAAAGCGGTGAGTAGTCGTATAAGTTAGGCAAGTAGTAAACTCTTTGGCAGCGAGGACAAACTTACCCGATTTTTTCCTAGGCAACTTCAGTATCAGCCTCTATCACAAGGGGGTGGATAAGCGTGTGAAACGGTAAGCCGTACAAATTAGGCAAGCGGTAAGCCTATATATAGCAAGCTCGGCAATTTAGGTAGGCGGTAAAGCTATACAAGTTAAGTAAGCGGTGAGCTTTTCCTAGGACCTATCGTCGAAAGGATCGTGAAGTAATATCAGCCTGACCAGGACCCATATTGTCTTCTGCGCGAGAAAGGTATCGAATGGCGTGAACCATGATAGCCGCTCCGGTTCCACTGACATTGGCATGCCGTTACTGACGCGCACATTGTTCCCCAAGACAGTCCCCACGATGTACAAACTACAGCCACGAGTTATATGCTCCGACATGATAGCGCCCCCTCTGTCTACATCGCAGTTGTTTATACAGCCACGCTGTCCAAATTGACCCTACAAGCCGGCTGCCGGCAGCGCCGATATTCCTGTATTCTGAGACGGCATTCGCTTGCGGCGGCTTTGGTCCTACATGTGGCTACGGTGGTTCACCGTTCTGGCCCTACACTTAACCACGGCCTTCAATCATAGTAGTCCTGGTCCAGCACTTGGCCATGGTATTTAATTACGGCTCCTGACTACCGTACCTCACGATTTAACAAACACTTCCCTCAAACATGGCGTTTACTCTCGCCATCGCTAACGGGATCTCGCCATCTGGTATGCACGCTTATCCTACACGGCCTTCTCAAGCTTGTCGCTATAGTTGTCGTATGTCTTCCCATTCCCAGACAGAAGCCTGTCCCGGAGCCGGTTCTGTATAATCCAAGAGCCTGGAGCCGCATACTCGAAGCTACTGGGACCTCGGTAAGTTTCGATAGGGGTCGTGAACTGGTAGCGCCCCCGCCGACAGGCATCTTACAGGGATCTTATTCTAGTAGCGCTCTAGTATCTAGACTCCAGCACTTGTCGGAGAGCTTTCTCAGCAGCGCTAAACAGGGCTTCCTATTCAGTCCATAGTAAACACATTGGCGCCTCCAGCATTGATCTAGCAATCTGGGAGCGCTCTGGCGTTTTGGTGCTGGCAGCGGCGCCGAATAGCGATTGTAGCAGCCTCGACAAAGAAGTCGGCGTCTTTGCAACGATCTAGCAGCTCCCTTGAAGTCTCCCTAATACCGACCTCCCACCCGACCAGTTCGTTCGATATCGGCCTTCACAAGCTAGCAGTCTTGACGCCGACCTCCCAGTGACCCCCGACTGCAGTGATTACGGCCTTTCCGCTCTACGATCTGGATTTGGGGCGACCATCGTACTGCTTCAGAGCCTCCCGACACCACTTCCTAACAACCATCTACATTCCCGTCTACAACTGCTGGGTCTTGCCGACAGGGGGGGGGGGGGGTTTAGTCCAACGGATCCTCTTTGCTTGCTATCCATAACCCTATCTAGGTTTAACGAGCTTCCCTGTGCTCAACGGTACCCGGCACCCTCAAGTCTCAGCCACTATCTCTATCCTCTCAAACGAGAGGCTGAGCTGCGGCGCTCTCCCTGTCCGCCACCTTTTGTATATATCACTGGCGACCCTATTCCTAGCGGGTATCGCCATCTTAGCCATGTATCCCTCTCCTATTGCTATCCTACAAACAGCTTGCCCTAGCCTTCCAACGACCACGCTATGTTGGGTATCCGCGTCTGTCTATCGACGACGTACCCTCCAAGGAGGTCGGACGGATGGATCGGGGTCCGAAGATATAGAGTTTAATATAACGGTTACACCGCTGTTACTACTATTGTCACTGTTATACTTATCTACTACCTACTATTCTGCCGCCTTGCTCTAACATATCCGCGGACCATACTAGAAGGTGGCTATATTCACTTACAATCACGCACTTTACATATCGAGCCCAGTAGTTAATGTATAGTCATAGCGGTCAGCATTCTATTCCATCATGACACCACGCAGTCAAGAAATTTGTGAGCTGGCCATGACTCTATCTCTACTCCTACATGACATCCGCCCTTCCCCCATGCCCCCGAACAAGCGTGGAGGCCGCCGAAATTACTTCTCAGGAATACCACTACACCGATCACAACGGAATCGGTATTACCATAACCTTGTGCCATAACCTGCTATGTCACTACGACTGTCCATCAAATGTCATGGCCTCGTCCACCGTCTGCCGAATCGCACCTAGGGCGTTTCCCGAAGGCTTCACCCGGACGAGCTCGACGGGATGCTCTACCTTTTCCTCCAGGACAAGCGGTTTCCCATACCCCAGACATCCCAGGGTGTCCCCGATACGTGCCATGGAGAACTGCTGCGTCTGCCCGCCGCTGTACGGAGGAGGCAGGATGCCCCATCGATCGTGGACGATCTGTCGCCGGTGGCAGCTGTCGCCGTAGGCCTGGAACATGTCGTAGATGGCATAGATGCCGGTGGTGCATCCAGACGGCCCTAGCCGAGCAACCAGGTAAAAGTTAGTATCTAGCCAGTTGACGTCGTCGTCGTCGTCGTCGTCGTCGTCATCGCCGCCCATGTTAGCCGCCACCCCCTCGGCAATGTCCGAGGACCAATTGTCCTCCTGGTTGTGCCACGTATACTGTAGTATCCCCAGCTGGAAGAAGATGAAGCCGGGGGCGTGGTCGTCGTCGCTCTCGGCAGACCGCGTTGACTGCTCTGAGAGGTTGGCATTGCGGCGACTGGCGGGGAGGGCGGGCTCCCGCGGCTGGATGGTCATATTAACCCCGAGTATGCTACCGTCGATGAGCTCTTCGGTGCCGTCCAGCGTCCTATAGCCGCAGTTCTGATCGTGCGACATGAGGTGGTACGGGCGGACGACGAGGCGATATAGATTATCACTGTCAGAGCCGATAGGCACCACCAGCGCGGGGTTCTCCATCGTGGACCTGGTGAGCTTGATGCGACAGGTCTCGTCGATAAGGCTGGCCGAGTCGACCTGGGCGACAAAGTTGGCGCATGAGATGGGCGGCGCGCGGAGGGCTTGACAGCGGGCTTCTAGCCACACACCATACGCCGCTCGGTCCTCAGCATTGGGAAGTACTTGGAAGATGCGGCGAGAGTCGGAGAGGCCGACGCGGAGGAGGTCTTCGAAGTCTTTATTAGTAGGCATCGCGGGCGATTGGTTGAAGGC